CTTTTGGATAAAAAAATTCGTGATAAAAGACCTGGTTTGCACCACAAAAAATCAGTTTTCTTCAAGACAATGCACCTGCTCACAAAGGTGTTTTAACACTGACAAAATTGAGCGAATTAAAATACGAATTGCTTGAGCGTCCACCGTATTCACCTGAAAGAATTCCTTAGGAAAACGCGTTTTTCGTCGAATGAAGAAGCTATTACAGCCGGATACGGATATTTTGCAGAGCTGCCGGAAAGTCATTATACTTGTAGGGATGGCATAAAATTATTGGAGGATCATTGGAATAAGTGTATTGAAGTTAATTGACATTAAATTGAATAAAAAAATTTATTAGGTACCAAACACAATATTTTTTTAATTTCGAGCGCAGAAACATGTAAGTGCACATCGCTGAAAGAGCTAAAGGCTTTTACCAAAAATCGAATTTGAGAAGAGTTTTGACGATAAGCAGAAGTGCTGGCATAAGTGCACAATATCGATGGCGACGGAAACCTTTAATGCAGACAAAGGAATACATTTTTTTTTCCAAAAAACGTAAATTCCCGTTATTTTTTTAACACGCTATATATAAATAATCAGCGTGACTTACTGGGTCGATTTAGCCATACAAACTCATCGACCAAAATCAAAATAAATATATATTTTTACCCCTTTATACTAGAAGAAATGCACTTACAAAGGGTAATATAGTTTCAGTGCCGCCGAAGAAAACGTTTTTTCTTGTTTTGTAATGAATTCTGCACCATCATTTCCCATCTCCCAACTCCGATGACCACCACTGTTAACTTAGTCATCAGTTTAACTTACTGCCACCTGTTAACTTTGACATCGAATTATACAATACAATAACTACGAACATATCGATTGGTATTAGAGTCATCTCGATAATCAATAAAAAGATCATAAATATGTATTTAATTTCATTTGAATTACAATACGAACAACAAGTGACCAACAAATGGCCAACAATGAGTCTTTGTTGGCCTACAAAACAATAGCGAAAGCCAAATAAAAATCAACAGCGTATAAAAATAATCTTTAAGCGGATTTATACAATTTATACATGATTTCATGCAAATACATACGATGGGCTTGCGAGATTCACAAATCGTTATCATAATTTCAGTGCTGTCGACGCAAACTGCACAGGGCAGATATTTATCTATTCATTCAAAACGACTATTTTATTATGCTCAACTGTCTTGTTATCAACAATGTTTTTGCTATTGTTGCTCTTTTGTATGTGGCACCACTGCTTAGTAGGTGCAATTTTTATTACTTTATTTTTTATTGTCCATAAATATTTAGCATAAAATGACAATCGATTTGGTGTGCTTTGACAATTTGCAAAAACAAACATAAAGAAACCTCAGAAAATATAAAAAAAACCCAAATATGTTTAGAAATGCAAATGAAATGACGACAAGAGCACAGAATGAGGGAGCATTGCACAGCAGGGTTGAACATTTAAATTGTGAATTTAATTGTCTGTTTGGCGCCATTTGACAGCTGTGCACCACACTAATGACAACTGACATTTATCGTTTGCAGGAATTTCAGGGCTAATCAAGATTATGTCATACGAAAATACACTGTTTCGCCAGTGAGAGGCGGGCACAGTAAGCAAATATCTCCGCTTGCCTATATCTAGGACAGACAAAAATTATTATATTTTGCAATTAAAAAAATGGAAAAAATATATATAATTAAAAAAAAAAAAAAGAAATTGTGAAAATAATTTAATGAACTCGTAGTGATGCAATAAGGGATGCTTTATATATACATTTATGTATAATTAATAAATTTATAATGATAAGTTATAGTATACCTATGTTTATCTCTTCGTTAACCTATCATCGTCCACCACTTTTTGCAGACCCTAAAAAACTATTAATCCATTCAAATGACAATCCAATTTATTTTGTTTTACACCTACGTATGTAAATATATAGGCATGTTGCCACACAGCCAGCTACCATATTACGATATTTTTAAAAAACGCTTAATCGATCTTCACTACTACTTAATTATGTTTAGATCATTTAAACGCATTCGATGGAGTGCGAACGCATTATGTATGAATTCATCAAAAACGCTCATAAATTGTACTGCCTTTTCTTCTTAGAAATACACAATTCAACGCTGTGAGCTTATGCAAATGATGTTGACCAGATGTAACTTGAGTATGTTTGTAAGCGACGACATACAGAGGCGTCCGTGGTAACTCGGAATATGAACAAAATTTAGTTTGCTTCACTACTTTATGCTGCGGCTTGAGTTAAATGCCATTAGACTATATTACTTCACAATATATACAAAAATCCATCTAAAACTAGAAAAAAACGTTGAGTACAAAGAAGTTTTTGTTATATGGATATGTATTTATATGTTGTGCTTCCTAGATATCAAATATAAGGTTATCTGTACTTACGACAGATTTTATACCGAAATATCAAAAATTACTCGATTTATATTAATATTAATACCACAGGGTAGTCTTACTGTAGTCAAAAAAATCCAGCATTTAGCATCTTTTTTCCGAATATAATGATGTGTAAGATATCACAACACAATTTGGTGGCCATGTTTTATTTGATATAAATTCTCTGATGCTTAAACTGAGTGAAATGAAATCACGCATTTAACTTACAGGGATATCTGTAAGTTATGTTGATTTTAACATAGATATCGAAATCAAGAAGATATAGTAATGAGGCTAAATGAGTAATCTATATATAGTAATATAAATTAATAAGATACCGGATATGTTTTTAATTGACTGTCAAAATCATCTAAAGTTTTGGAAACATCACATTCTTTAATTTCTACAAATTGCGCGGTATAGTATTTGTATTTTTTATAGTATAAACACCATATTTTAAGTTTGTCAGCTTTGCCAGCTGTAGCTGTCATAAGAACTAAGCGATCAAAATCAAGCTCTTGTATGGAAAACTTTTTTATTTCTCAAGATATCTTCACGAAACGAAATTTAGCATACAACATTGACCTAGGCAACACTACCATCTCCATACTGTAGCTGTCATATATTAATATGGTTGCTATAAACAATGCACTTAGCAAGGTTATTATAGCTTCGTTGCAGCCGAAGTTTTTATATATTTCAGGTAAATAATAAATTTCAAATTAACTAAATTAAAATATTTTAATTGGAGTTAACCGATAATTAAATATATTGTATTACTATATACAATATATATTAATATACATATATTATTATTATAACTATATATAAACTGAAATTAAACGGAATATATATAATTATTCTATATTATATATTTTATTTATATTATTTGCAAAGCATGGTAATAGTTTTGTACCCCATTGCGAACGCCTCTGTTCACAATAACCAATAAAGTTCAATAAAAGTTGTTATACAAAACTACAAAACATGCGATATTAAATTAACATAAAATATAATCGAATATAAATAAAATCGACAGGGTAAATCATTTCCAAACATTAAGCCAATAAACAAGCCAAACAGTGTTCAAAAGTTGTGTTTATCAGCTATAAAAATATATATACCATGAAAATATGCGCTGGAAGAAATGCGTGACCGAACAATTTTAAAAAATAAGACTACAATCCTTTGTCAATTTAATTATTAGAAAAAATATTGAAATAAGGAAATTTAGATTTCGTGTAAATTTGTTGCAACCCTGTATTGATTACGAATTATAACAAAAATTTAAGAAATACTGGATTATTGTTCTAAATTTTTTTAAAATTATATTCACAAATTTAACAAAAATGTATTTAACATATTTGGAGTAAGAAACCCTTCATTATCTTTGTCTTGACTGTTTACATGGCTCTGCCAGCTGAGAAAAAAACTGTTTCATGTTGTTACCTACAGCTGGTACGACATGAAAAATTTTCAAAGTCGAGATATCCGCATTTACTATAATATCGTGACGTTATATATTTTGGTGGTGTCGTCTGTTTTACTCGAGCCCTTCCCAATACAATTGTATGTTTTCTAGGCATTAAATCATGAACGTTACACAACTTCCTCGACGGAACCATATGTTTATGAAACCATTATTTTTGGATGAAATTGGAGAATTTATATAGAATGATCCCATTTAGGTCAAATATGCACCGTTTAGTAATTGCATAATGATAGTCTCAATGAAAATCTAGCCCCTATTGGCAAAAAACTGAGACAGTCGATTTTCACTGAGGCAAATTTTTCACCAGCAAAATCATTCGCGTTAGACGGAAACAGGCGGTAGTCAGTTAGCACCAGATCCGTACTACAAAGTAAGCTCCTGGAGCTTGTGGCGAGTCACTAGCGATGTATGCATCTGTGACATCAAAATTATCGGTACAAAATTGAGTTGTTAAAACAATGTTTTTGCACAATTTATTCCATTCTGCTCCACTGTAAGCATCTACAGATGTTATCGAAAGTGTTGCTGTTAATATTTATCCGCTCAGCAGGGGTCGCGCGTCATTTGTTTTAGAAGATCTACAGTCATACATACAAACAAAATTATTACTTATTATGCATTTGGTTAAGTGGAGTTTAAGCTACGTTTGGTTATTCACGTCAACACCCGCTCATGCTGCTAATTCGCTACAAATTGCTAAGACGCCGAGTTTGGATTAGCAGCTAGCTACTTCTTCACCATCCAGCAAATGCCCTTTCTGGGTTGCATTAAAAAATTGTGCCAAATTATAGTTCTCTGTTTTTGATCATAAAATTTATATTGCCCTCAGTAGATACCCATATGGAGACACATATACAAATGTATATTTATGTATAATCTCTACATTTTTGAGTATATGTATGTATGTACATATGTGTGTAGGCACAAATATAGCACAAAATTATGTGAAATAAAAATTTATGCATTTTGACGTTCACCAGTGATGCTCTTTGATCACTCGGAGATCGTAAATTTTGTTTTTGTAGTTAATCGTGTTTTTTAGTTTTTGAATTTTTATGATGTTGGCTGTGATTGGGTTTGCATTACTATCGCTTTATCGTTACATACCGTGTTTCCCTAATTTGGCGACATATAAAAAGTGCACTTTTGTCTCTTTTGATTAACAGTTACATTTCAAATTTCACATTGTAAAGACTTAGGGAGGGAGACTTACGAATATCAAAAAACTCGATGATGCGTTTGTTAGTGGTGAGTGTGAAAATTGTTTTAATAATTTAGAAATTTTTGTGTTGTTGTTTTAAAGGTAATGCTCATGAGACTTTTACAAACTGAAATCAAGTGAATATCATAAAATTGTAAATTTATTAAACAAAATAAGTAAATTTTTGGGTTTCCTTCTTATAACAATGAAAAAAAAAATTATAAAAATTATAATAACAATAATAAAATTAAAAGTAATGATTAAATAAATATTAAACTCTAAGCAATTAAGCCAAAAAATAAAAAAAAACCATTTCTCACAATCTTAGTCGCAAACAGTTAACTAATATATTTTCGAATCGTTTCAATTTTGCAGTTTTTACTATTTGTAGGGGTGGCGCTGGCGGCGCCACAAGGCTACAACTATCAATTAAATTACGCTCCCAACAATGGCGGGGCCTTGACATATTCACAAGTACAGATACTACAGCAGTTCGCTAGTCAACATGAACAATCAGTCGTACAACAACAAACCGCAAACATTTCGGAGCAACAAGCTCCTGTTCAGACTCATAATATTGCACCAGCTGGAGGCTCGCAATTCGCCAATCAGTTAATACAACTAGCAAGCCACGGACAACAACAGCAACAATTACCGCAATCACAGGGGGTTTCAGAGGTGTCACAGTCTCAGACACAGAGTTTCTTACAGTCCCAACCACAAGCCCTGCCCGTGCCACAACCTCTCGCTCTACCGCAACCACAACCTCAAGTCCAGCCACAGATACCATCTCCGCTGCCAGTTCAACAACAGTTGCAAATTTCGGCACTGCCACAACCTCAACCCGAGCCTTTGCCACAACTTCAAGAAGAATCACAACCTCAAACTCAATTTTTGCCTCAGGCTCAATACCAACCAGAGCCGCAGTCTCTGCCTCAATCTCAGCAACAAATTAAACCGCAATCTTTCCAACAGTCTCAACCCCAACCTCAATTTGTACAGCAGGTTCAACCCACGGTGCAGCTACAGCCACAGCCACAACTTTTACTGCATCCACAACCGCAACCCCAACTCTCACTACAGTCTCAACCCGAATCACAAGAACAACAATCATCCGCCCCTCAGCGCTTGCCACAGCCAGCTCAATCGATACATTTACAGCAGGCATCTGCACTCCTTCGCGCACCCGAACCTGCATACTACAACAAGGAGTACTACTATCTTTCTGCACCTCAGGAAAACTATGAACTCCCATATAACTTCAATGATCAATTAAACAAAATGAAAAAGAATCTTCGCGTTGTTTTCATCAAAGCGCCGGAACAGAATGGCCTTGCAAAGGCAGCCTTGCAGTTGGTGAAGGATAGCCAGCAACCAGAGACGGCCATTTACGTGCTAACGAAGCAACATAGTGCCACTGAATTGGCTAAGAAATTACAACAATTACCCGCCACAGCACAACATAAACCCGAAGTGATATTCATCAAGTATCGCACGCGTCAGGAGGCTGAGCATGCGCAGCGTACTATTCAATCGCAATACGAATCGCTCAATGGACCCAATCACTTCAATTTCGAAAACGTTGTGCCAACGCATAATTTTATTAAATCCCCGGCAGCCATACTTGTAGAGCCACGCCAGCGCTTGACGGAGAAGAATGCCGTTACAAATGCGGCTACATCGACGCCCCTCGATTATCTCCCGCCTGCGGAGTGAAGTATTTCAATTTTATTTGGTAGTTAATTTATGTGTGTAAATATAATATATGTGTTTTTGTTGTACGCTTAGATTTAATAAAAGTTTTATAATTCATTTAAATTATAGGGTTTACATATATTTTTATGGAGTGAAACAAACTGTTTAAAATTGTATATGAAAATCAAAACGAAAGAACGCCTAACCGAAAGCGAACTCACATCAGCATTCCACGATTCGCTGAAGTCTTTGCCATCCAAGCTCAGCAGTTACTTTCAGATTGGTCGTTATCTCTTCTCAACCAGCTGAAGACGCCTTCGCGTATGCTCTGCATTGTGTATATACCACTTCACTTATTTTCTGAAGGTAAGAGCTCTTGGTAGGTGGGCACTGTGATGACCTACCACGTCACTCGATCTTTCTTAAACGAACAAGCTTTTTGGTCTGCCTACCACACACACTACCCTAAAGTGGTGATTCAGGATCAAAGGTACTCCTCAAGCATCATTGTTTCAATAACCATCTTGAAGCAATCATGAAAACTGTTCCTGGCCTTACCAGAGCGTACCAAATCATCTGCGTTTTCATTCTTCATATACCAAATGAGATTTCATGTTGGTTCAGCGCTACGCCGCTTTGATATTCGCAAGAATGTTACTACACTTTCTGGTTAAATCAGTGGCCCACTTGGGCTCTTGCTCCTGTGCCTACTTCACATTCTGACGCTTAGGTGAACACAACGACTTCTGTACTATAAACCACCAATGGACCATTATTCTCCCTTTAGGTAAAGAGTATATATAAATCTGATGCGACGTTCGTAGTCACGTTTCCTTTATTTCATTGACCTCAAATTTCTTGCCTCCACAAGCATGTTGGCCGTCGCTTAAAGAGTAACTAATAAAATCATCTCACACAATCATTTTATCACATTCATTATAGCCTGAAAAATTGTGAAACTGCTAAACAAATTATTTTGGAATAACTCAGTTTGCGTAAGACGATAACATAGCTGTAAACTGGAAGAGTGGGAAGAAAACTTTATTGAAGCAATAGTTATGGATGATATTGTCACTGTTAAGAGTGGAAATTATATCATATTATTTACTTAGACGACTTTTAGTCTGGAAAAGAAATATTTACTTCATTTGTTCAATATACTTTTTTCATGCCTATATACTTCAAGTACTTATATGTCATACATAAAATTATATGATCAATACCATATTTACTTTTATTTAAAAATCTCTTCTTTGAGTTGTATAGAACAATGTGTATCGAAATCCGTTGCAATAAAAATTCATTAATTTTAAATTGGTATTCTTAAACATATATTTTTGCAATTATGAAGAAACTTATACATTTAGTTAACAAGGAACATCAGGACTAAATTAATATTTAACAAATTGTTTGATAAATCCACATCATTATACGCTATAATATATCGGTCAACTTATTAAACTTTGTTTGGTGGCAGATAAGCTCCCTCCACACTACCAATTGGTTGCTGAGCAGCAGGAGCGGCTGGCTTTGTGGCGAAATCCAAAACTGGCGCCACACCACTATTGTAGCTGCTAGTATTACCACCCAAATTATCGTATTGTGACTGAATAGCATGCTTGGCATGCTCAGCATCAGCTGGTGTTCTGTATTTGACGAAGTGTACTTCTGGTTTGTAAGCGCTGCGATGATTGATTGAGTTCAGTTTGTTAGCCAAATCACCGATGTCAGCTTGTTTGTTCAGCACATAGATAGCGGTGCGTTCCTCAACAGCCGATTTAGACAATAACTGCAAAGCGGCATTCTCGAGTCCAGAGTTCTGTGGTCCCTTAACGAAGATAACACGCAAGTTTTTCTTCAACGAATTAGCGATGTCACCGGCATTACCGATATTATTGAATTCATTCTCGGGTGCAGTGTAGCTGAAAAATTCCTTGTTAACCTCTGGAACTGGAGCCGGAGCGCTGTAACTGGGACTGGCAATAGCTTGGCCAACAAAACTGAGTCCACTTAGCGCTTGCCCAGCATAACTGGGACTAGCAAGAGCTTGTCCGCCAAGCACGGGACCACCAACAAAACCACCAGCAAGCGCTGGACCATTGTTGCTCTCATAGTTGTAGCCAAGGCCAGCGGCATACGCAGCAGAGATGACAGAGCACAGGATCTGCAAAGTGATAAGAAAGCGCATGAGTTAATTTTATTCGGAAATACGGCGTGCCAAACTCGCAAGTCTTACCAAAAATGCACGCATTTTGCAGATAGTATTAAGCTTGATTGACTGTATCGGTTTGCAGTTCAGTTGCTTTCTGTTGGTCTAAGCAAAACTGCAGCTAAATTTATACAAGAAATATTTCAGTACAAAAACGCGAAGTATTTTCGAATGCAATAAAAATGTTTACCGTCCAAATTTACCAATTGAAACAAAACTAATATTAATAATAACTACGTGTGCTATCGAAAATGCCAAAATTCTCTAAAAACCATAACCAACACTGCTTTACAAGCCAAGCTGATATTATTCAGTATTTGTACATATGTAAATATGCAGCGGACCCTGTGGTGCTTCATTGTAAGTTGTTGGAGGTGTGAACGCTGTCAGAAAGCGGAGCAAAACATTTTTGGCATTAGTCAGTTCATTGCAGTGCGTTTGACTTAGTTTCGATATATATGGATAGATCATTTCATTTGCCACCGTCTCAACTCTGCACCAGAGCCATCAAAAACTCACAAAACAGCAAAAAATTAAAATATTATGGTTTATCTCGCTGGCTATTAGCATGGCGCTGTGTTAATTTTTGCATTTAAATGAGAAATGCAAATTTATGCGACAATAGTAGGCGGATTCATTCAGGTTTTTAATTGCACGGATTTTTATGCAAACAAAAAGAGAATAATTTAATATAAAATCAAAAAACCCATTCATATGGTAGTTGTCTGCATTCTTCTGGTTTATATTTTCTCACTATTGCTTGGGCGTTTGTAATAAACATTTGACCTTCAAAACTTTACACTGAAATATTTTAATATTTATATTTATATTAACATCAGATCAGTCTACGATTTTGTAAAATCGAAACTTTTTTTTTTGCTCTAAGTACACTATAGAATTATAAAAACTTTATTTAGTTAGTAGAATGGTGAAAAGGATGTTCTCCTGTCCAATCCGCTGCAAATTCGAAGACTACGAACGTTGCTGCTTGAGCACATAACTCTATAAGCGGGTTATACGAATTCTCAGAATCACCGTCGCTGACATAGGTCCACCTAAATAAAGTAATTCCGGAGATTGGCCCAGTAACCGCCATTTTCTATTGAAATATCAATATAAAAGATAATTGAAAATGGTTTCGTCTATTTTCCCTTAAGTTGAGAATAAATAATCAAAGAGAGGCCTTTTTAAGCAAAGCTCTCACTCAGGAATGACCCTAAAATAAGTTCTTTTGAGCAAAGCAAAGAAATAATAAATTCTCCACTTATTTTTTGAAGACCTTCGTCGAGATGGCCTTAAGTTCATTCAATACATTTTTTCCTATGGCCTCAATCGATTCATAGCGTTTTTCCGGAGATAAATTTATATAAAGACTTGTCTTCTAAATAAGTAGATGAACAATAACTTTTTTCTTTATAAAAATTTGCTACACCCGAGTGTCAGCAAGTTGATTATCGAGTACAACTTTCGTAATTTTTTCTTTTCTTTCTCTTTAATTATCAATAGGTTTCATTTACAAGTTTTCAGGTCTAAGGAATTTGACTGTAGTAAAGTTGTGTCGACGCCATTATCGGTAGGTAAGGTTAGGTTAAAAGGTCGATGTTGTTACAAAGACCAACAAAATTCTTGCTTAGACAGCTTTTTGACGAAGACAGTCACAAATTTGTTGGGGCGGCTAATATCAATTTGAGCTATTTCATCGGGTTCGGCGAAGTTATGACTGTCGAGATGTTTTAGTCACAGTTTTGCAAAAGCTGGACAATGGAGTGAAAACGAATGTGTACTTCCACCTACCCAAGATTTCTATTTCCACCGACAAGTTTTTTTACCCTTAACGCAAACTATCCGCTTAGAGCCATGCTAAGAGCAAGTAGTTCAATAAATCTACTGCGATCCACTTAAGAAACAACTGCATTTATAACATCTCAACTATTTCCATACTGATACCTTTACTTTAAAATATAGATTCAAGTAGTTATGTATCATATATTGCAGTTTACTTTTCAAAGATTAATAAGAAGAAAATATTAACTTTGTCCGACTGTGCTTTTTTACGCATGACCGAACCAAAAGCATCCAAATATTTTGTGTTGATCGTAAAGTTACGCAGATAATATAAAACATTCAGAAAATTAAATTAACAATTAATACCCGAGCTGTACTTGTTATTAGAGCACAATTATATATTATATTAGGTAAAGTAAAAAGTTCGTTCGGTTTTTAAAATATCAAACTACCACCCCAAGAAATTAATTATTAATTGCAAAAATATTACAACATTTATAAAAGTAATTTACCAAATGACCAAATAGTTTTATGAAAGAACCTTATAAAAAACATATTATTTTTAGATAACGATATGTCGGTAACTCTGTTTCGTTATTTACTCTGTCAGTTGGCTGCAAATGATATTTATCCAACAAAACAATGATCATCTGTATAATTTTAAACAAATTGAGATAATTTCCATACATAGTTTCTACACCAAAATAATGCATTATAAAAATTGATATTACAGTGTATGTCCCTTCGTCTCGCCAAATGTGTCGAAAGCGGTGGCTGACCGATGACTGTTGTTTCATTCTTGCTCCAAAAGTCAATCACATTCATGTTAGAATGTGACAGCACATTCAGGTCTTTTGGTACGAGTCTAGCATTGACACGCTTCATACCCAAAATATTAACCAGAAATGATTGAGTCGATCAAAAAGACATCGATCAAAAAGACATCGATCAATAAGAGAGGTTTTCTGTTGTTTCTCTGATGTAAAGGCGCCAAATTTCAATGTTATCGTCATTAACAGAGGTGGATGAACGACAAGCAAGTTTTTGCTGATTTCACCTTTACTAAATGCTTTGTAAAACTCAAATACATATGTTCGTGGTAAAATAGAATCTCCCAAACACGTGTGCAACATTTTTAATGATTCCGTAGCCGTGATTTCATTGGAAACACAAACTTCAAACAATCTCGTTGTTGAATTTTTTCCATGGCAAAAATCGCCTGACGCATCTTTCGCGGCGTAAAAAGTAGATGCTAATTGACATAGATCAACCTTCACACGAACATCAAAAGGGCTGTACCAATCTATAAAAAATTTTTTATCGTTTCGGCTTGCGCACATAGTTTATATGGACATATCCGGGTTAAAATTGATCTTGCGTGTATATTAAAATCCACTGGATCAAACTTCTCTACATTATCTATTTGCTTTTTAATATCATTTGAAAATGAGCAAACTCTGACCACAGCCGCGTTTACTTTCCGTATAACTTAATTTACCATATAATTTCAGCAATGGTTTTGACTTATCTTAAAGAAAGATTGCTGAACAAACCTTGAAGAAAATGTGCACTTAGTATTGCTCGCATATATCAAATGTGATATCTATCCTCTCTGCTAATATAATCACAATCAATAATTGTGTCAGAATAAACGATATAATTTACATACTTAAATTGAATATTTTATACAGTTGAAACATAAGAGTTAAAATATATACCCAAAAATTACAACATAAGAAAAAACGTTAACTTCGGTTGCACCAAGGCCAATAATACCCTTCATAAATACAAAAGGTTGTTTACAAAAACTTGATTCCGTTCGTTCAGTTTGTATGGCAGCTATATGCTACAGTGATTCGATCTTAACAATTTCTTCGGAGATTACGTTATTTCCTTCGACAATAACTCATGCCAAGTTCGGTGAAGATATCTCGTCAAACGAAGATGTTTTCCATGCCAGAACTTGATTTCGTTCGTTCAGTTTGTATGGCAGCTACATGCTATAGTGGACCGACGTCAGTGGTTCTGACAATTGAGCAGCTCTTTAGGAAGAAAAGGACGTGTGCAAAATTTAAGATCGATGTCTCAATAAATCAGGAACTAGTTTGCGTATATACAGACAAACATGACTAAATCGACTAAACTGAGCATGCTGGTTATAAGAACGTTTCCTTCTGGGTCTTACAAACTTCGCAGCAAACTTAATATACCCTGTTCAGGGTAAACTAATAAAATTACTCTTCACCGTTTAGGTTGAACTCCAAATTTTAGTCTGCCTTAATTTTACTGTTGATTGCTGCTGCGGATGAATACGTGACTCTATTGTAATTAAAATGCAGGTGTTCTTTAATGTGCAGCTATTTTGGTAGGAAACAGAATTTGATGCAAAGCAGTTGCATTCCTTAACTGGGTACAAATATTTATTACGTCTATAATGCTATTCGTTTGTTTTTTTTTCCTAATTTTAATCTTTTACTGAGAAAAGCGTTTACAATAGTATTACTAAAAGTATTGCCCATCTGAAACTATAATATTTCCCCATCATTCTTGCAATATTTCTCTACTGATTACACCAAATATATGTAGATATCATGTACAATATATTCTGCTTTTCCGTTGATTTGGTGGTTGGTCACGTTTCACATATAATGTTTTACGTTAAGGGTTGTTTTAATGGATCCATTTTTCATCACCAATCACAATTCGATGCAAAAACTACTGGCTTCAATTCATACCACACCCTGTTTCCTTGATTTTGAATGCATTCGGCTGCTATTATTAAACGTTTTAAAATGGCTGCTAAAGTATCTTGCATTCTTTCCATAACCTTAATGTCAATTAAATATTTTAGACTTATTCACATTTTTTATCTCAGCCTGTAATTTTTGGTATTTGTACGGAACGGAAATTTTTGGCAAAGTACATTTATAAAAAATTTCATTAAATATCAGAAATTTTTAATTTTCAAATAAGTGTCCCATTTATGCATGTTTTAGAACTGAAGTCATTCTAGAAAGCTCTTGTTTAAAAAAAGTAATTATTTTTCTGGGTCGGCCAATATAATAACTCAAGGTTATCAAAAACCTAGAGCTAAATATTTTTTTAAAGATTTCTATCTATTTAGCATCTCTACACACAATTGGATTTTTCTAAAGAACATGCCAATTTTTGTACGCTTATTTCAATAAATTAAGTTAAGAGCAACTAAGAAAGGGCTAAGTTCGGGTGCAACCGAACATTTTATACTCTTGCAACTTGCAAGAACCAAATCCCTAAAAAGTAATTCAGTTGTTGGCAAAACTTCTTATAGAAAATGTTTGGAAAGAATTAAACATTCATTATTCGACGAAATCGTAAATAAATTACGACTAAATTTGGTACTTTATTAAGTTATATTATAGTACATAGACAGCAAAAATTATATTAAAATCATCCCCAAACCAGATATATCTAGCATAAATTTAATATATTGAGGAAGTGCAAAACGCCAACCAGAAGATCGGAATTTATGATGTTAGGGATATGAGATTAGAACCAAGGTCTAGACCAGCCGTTCGTTAGAATAACGGAAATTATTATTATACTATAATTAATATTGTACTATAATTTTACATATATTCGACATTAAACTAATGTTTACTATATATCCAGTATACTTTCAGTTAATTTTGCTAGGGGGGTTAGTACAATCGGGTTTTCACCCAAATTTATCCATTTAAGATAACTCACATACTGGCCCATATGTACATATATATTATATATATGGGGTATAAGGTCAGCTGGAACTTCGAAAACCTTACTATTAGGTATATGGGGGCTAAGGGAAATACTAAATCGATTCAACCAATTTTCAACATATAGATATATTATTATGAGAAAAGAATTATCTTGTAATTTCAATAACATATCTCACACATTGACCGATATTTTCGGTAGAAATTCAGCCAATTCACTGGGGTCCTGATTTCCGGCTCCAGTTCCTCGGGGCTTGAATATTTATGATCCGATTTTGAC